CAAAATTATACATTTTTCTTTTATGCCAAAAATCATTAGGATATTAAGTAAAGATCATGTTCCATGAAGATATTTTGTAAATTTTCTACAGTAAATATATCAAAAAATTTTGATTAGTAATATGCAATTCTAAGAACTTAATTTGAACAACTTTAAAGGCGATTTTCTCAGTATTGTGATTTTTTTACACCCTCAGATTCCAGATTTTCAAATAGTTGTATCTCGGCCAAATATTGTCCTATCCGAACAAACCATACATCAATGGAAAGCTTATTTATTCAGCTTTGAGATGATGTATACATCTCAATTTTTAAAAAAAAACTGACCCTTATGACTGGTTTTGTGTTCCAGGGTCACAAATGAGCAAAATGCTGATATATAGCTACATAATACATTAAAGGCACAATATGTCATTTTCACCGCTAGAGGGCGCGTATTCAAAATAAACAAAGAGACAAAGGCGTAGTTTGATGAGGCTGTGACTGAGTGTGGAATCATGGGAGTTGTGGTCTTCATCCCCACAGCCGATGCTGCTGTCAAGGCTGGGTTGACAAAACTGATTAATCCATTTTAATCTTCATTTTGATGAACAATTATACATAGATTTTTTTTTGTAGTCTATGCCGTTTTCTTCTGATGTGTGAAATATCACTGTACATTATTTGAAGTATGTCTACCATCCAATAACTTTCAACTCGCCACAGATCGCCACATTAAAGAACATGACTGTACTGTACAAATGACTGTACTGTACCTGATATATCCTCCTGAGAACCATAAAAAAATGTTTTGTGCATGTGTTTTTTTATGACACTACATTGGTTGGAGCATTAGAAATAAATGTAGAAAAAAAAACATTTTTGAAAAATTTTATTTTATTCATATTTTATTCTATGTCCTTAGAGGACGTCAGGGCTAAGTTTTTTTTTTTTTTAAATAGACATGAAAAGACATGTTTTGGCAAAAACAATGATTTATTTTTTTCATTCACCAATCAGTTTTTAACCAAACTTTGTACAAAGATGATTCTCAGCTATGTTATGAAAGATGAAACAGAATGATTTGATATACTATTTTACTTTATGCAATACGTGTGTAAAATGTCCATAATTTGGTATTCCCATTCTATACAATGAATCTATATATTGCATCTAATTTGCATATTAATGTGTTCTTGGGCAAACCATAATGAAAAAAGAAGTGTTATAATGAGAGTAATCATTTTAAAGCAACATTTTCATAAGAATATCTCATATTTCACGGGAATATTGATCTATAATTTCGTGTTGTGTTTCCCCAAAATGTCAGATTAACATGATGTTGGTCCTCTACAGAAGACATGTATGAAAATGATGCCCTGTTTAATAACATAAAGTCATATTTCGATTTGAAACCCCATAACATTTTTCTGAGATGTTTATTTACGACAAACAATTTGAAAATCAGCCATATTTAAATTGTAAATACAAAATATTATCATATTTCCCAAAGAGTGCTAAATCTGATCATTCTGTCAATATCAGTCACATTTAAAGAACGAGGAGAGAGAGTGTTTATGATCAAACCTCCAAACATCTGATATCCCTAAAAGCCCTTAATGTGCTCTGAACAGGACATCCAGACTCAACACTGTGGCATGTAGAGTCTCAGAAAAATCACTAAAATATTGAATCAAAGAGAATCAAGAGCTTGTGAATTAATTTATGAAATCCCTGTCAAAACCCAGCTCTAGTGCTGATTACTTTTATGCTTATCAGCATATAGCTTAATAACACGCTAATGCCCATCTCACTGAAATAAACTGTGAATCATATAACATGCAGAGTTGCCTGATTTATATAGGCTCCAGCCTCAGAAGGAAGCTGCCTAAACATAAAGCAATCTTATTTTAGGCCAGGGTAATGTCAGAAATTAAAAAATACTTTAAAGGCCCAGAGTTACATGCTATTGCATTGAGCTTTATTGTCCTGAGCCCTTATAAACACTAACCACTGTATTAGAGCTTATTCTGATTTGATTTGAATTTGAATGGTTGCTTGTGTTGCTAAATGAACTGAACTGTGCCGATGTGCATTATACAAGCAGAGTACACTGTGTGCAATCCCATAATGCAATGCATTTGGCCTCAACTTCAATTTCCAGTGGGCCAAATTGACCATAAGTCACAGCAGATGTTGAAATACTGCTTCAAGAATTGAGGGCACACTACAATGCCACATAGCTAACAAAAAAATCATAAAAGCAGACACCAGATATTAAATAACATTAAGACATGCTATATTTATATCTAAAAAATTATGTGTTGCTGTGAAGAAGCGAATATTTTAATATATGCTGCGAGTACAAGATAAGAATTACTATACAAGAATAATGCAAGTGTTTAAACTATAATCTCATGGTCTATATAAACGATATATGTATTAAATAGAATGTATGTGTATGTGTATATATATTTATATCTAAACAGCTGCTGCCAAAATAAATAAAATGAAAATAACCAAATTAAGTGAATTAAAAGGACAGTAGTTCACAAAGATAGTAATCAATCAATGTAACAAATAATAAGTTACTTAAATATGTACTTAAAAAGGTTTAAGCATAAAACTTTCATATACTATAGTTTTTACATCACTGAGACATTTATTAGTCTATTAGTTACTACTTTGTCTACTGTTTGTCAGTTACTACAGATAAACTGAAGGTACCTTCTAACGATGTAGCAATTGTTTCATACACGGCTGGATAAAATACATATAATATCGGAAAGATGGGATTATGACTAGTTGTGTGTGACTGAAGAGAGTTCACTAACTTAGCTGTTAGCTAACCAAGCTAACCACAGTGTGACAGAAGAAGTCAATTTTGCGTCTAACACAGCACATTAGACAGTTAGTTTGCTTATGTATGTTGGTGTAATTAGTAACATACCTGTTTGTGTTGAGTTAGTGCTCTCACGTGTGATTATTAACTGTTAGCTCTATATAACTACACCGGCGCTGAAGTCCTGACGCCTGTTACTATAACAACCAGCTGACAGCTACCGATGTGCGCATGCGCGCAAAACCAACGGGCAGCCGCCGAGTGCGCATGCGTGGCATATTTGTTCCGCGTTTTAACTTTTTTGAGTAATATATATTTTACATTACCAAAGAGGCGAGATGTTTTAATGTACAATTACGAGTAATAATACTGATTGCGCTATGTGTATTAAATTCCCTTTCATTTACCCGCTGAATTATTTCGCTCAAAATAAAATAAAATGACTCTTATTTTTACTTAATTTTCATTTAAAGCTCTGAAAGACTGAAAAATGTTTTCGATCCCTAACTGATAAATCTATAGACCTTAGAGGGTTTTTGTTTGTTTGTTTGTTTTTGCATAATATTATATGACATTGCTAACCATAAAAAATAACGAACGTCTTATTATATTACTATATATTATTAGATATATTACTATAACATGTACGGTAATATAATACATAATTATGACGTTAAAATTCAACTACCTGTCACAAATCGTCAGATGCTTGGCGGCCAGTGATTAGTCCGATCTCCCGGAAGTGGGCGGTCTTTTAAAACTCTGGTCTCAAAACTACCCAATAGGGTGGCGGCACGGCGTGACGCAGCCGTCTTCCGCGGTTTCTAACTAATAAATCGTGCACTGTGTCTTATATAATGTATAATTGATGATCCAGATTATGATAGCCTAACAACCCAAACAGTCATTAACAGAGAAGTACCATAGTGCCATGCTCTTTGCATATGTGTCATGGTAGCACCACAGAGTAAGTCCATGCTACATGAGTATAACAGTCATTCAGTATGGTATATCTCAGAGTACCATGGTAATAGCATGTGCTGTTGATCTTCTGCAGGCGTGCGCTGAAGGATGAGCCGCTTTCTGAACGTGTTGAGGAGCTGGCTGCTCATGGTGTCAGTGATCGCTGTGGCAAACACAGTGCAGCACAGTATTTTAATGAGTGCATGCACTGTCCATGAATACAAAAAGCGTTTGGACTCAAATACATGTTTTAAAATATATTTCACCGTCAGATATAAAATAATGTGTACTTTCAAATATTTATATTTTATATTTTAATAATTTTATGTAAAACACCTGTAAAAAAAATAAAAACATAAAATTCCTTCATTTTATTAATACAGTACATTGTGCCCTATTTTTACAGATTTGTTTACAGTGTAACACACAAGAATATAAGGAGATTATTAGAAGAGCATTAGAAAGTGTACACATTTTCAGTCTAAGTTAAGTCACTACTGCTGAACGTCCTGATGTGTTATTCTTTCTGCTGGAATGAAGCTGACGTCTCTTTCTTGCCCTCATTTCAGGCTTTATCATATCACTCTGTGGACATTTGTTCTGGCGCTCGGTCACTTCCTGTCCGAAGCGTTTATCTATAAAACTGCTCCTCTGACCATTGGAGTCATGGCTCCTCTGATTGTAGCCAGTAAGTGATGACCAGGGTTTCAAACATCTAGATTAGTCTTGCATTAGGATACTCCTATTTTTGTAACATCTGTTTCTAACATCTGCAGTTCAACAATACTGTAAAAACAGTAATATTGTGCAATATTATTATAATTTATTAAGATGATTTGCTGCTCAAGAAACATTTCTTATTATCATCAGTGTTAAAAACTGTCATTCTCTGTCATATTTTTTGGAAACCATGATACATTACCTTTCAAACTTTTGAGGGAAGTAAGAAATTAATACTTTTATCCAGCAAAGACACATTAAATTGATCAAAAGTGCCAGTAAAGACATTTATAACGTTCCAAAAGATTTCTATTTCAAATAAATGCTGTTCTTTTGAACTTTCTATTCATCTGTGAATCCTGAAAAATAAAATGCATCACAGTTTCCACAGAAATATTGTGCAGCACAACTGTTTTCAACATTGATAATAATCAGAAATGTTTCTTGAGCAGCAAATCAGCATATTAGAATGATTTCTGAAGATCATGTGACACTGAAGACTGGAGTAATGATGCTGAAAATACAGTTCACATGAATAAATTACAGTTTAACAGATATTCACATAGAAAACAGCTGTTTTACATTGTAATAATATTTCACTGTCTTTACTGTATTTTTAATCAAATAAATGCAGCCTTAGTGAGCGGAAGATACTTTTTTTTTTTAAAAACCTAAAGAATCACTTATTGCAAACTTTTGAACAGTAGTGTATAGGTTTTACTTTGAAGTAGTTTGTGTCTGTAGAAACACTGACGACCAGCCTATTTCATCATCAATACTGTATACTGTTGTTAGATTTGATCTATAATTATCAGCGTCTGAAGAGTCCGTACTGGCCTGTAACAGTGTTTGTGTTTGTAGGTTTCTCTATCGTGGGCATGTTAATTGGCTTCCAGTGTGTCGTTGAGCCTCAGGAAGTAGTGGGAGCCCGTCAGAAGAAGAGGAACTGAGTGATACTCCCAGCTTTGAGCACAACTCCCGGCTGATGCTTCGGCACTGATGCCTTCGGCTGTGACTCCTGACTTCAGAGAGCTTTCTGATGGGTCACTGGGTCACATGACTGTCCTCATATCAACTGCTTGATGGCAAACATATGAGGCCCAAACTATCTTTTTTTTTAAAGCACTGAAATCAGTGTAATATTAAAATGATAATAATTGTATAGGGTTATTTGAAGTTTAATTGTCTGTAAGCAATTACAGTACTGGTACTTTTGTGTTTATTTTAGCTATTATTTTAGAACAGAGATGCCAAAGCCAGAGTCAATATAATTGAATTTGATTTTTTTTTTTTTATTAAATCAAAAAATTATAATCTACTAATCATGCTAACAAAATGTTAACACCATGCTAGTAACTTGCTAATTATGCTAACAACAAGCTAATCATGTTAGAAACATGCTAGTAACTTGCTAATCATGCTAACAAAATTCTAACACCATGCTAATAACATGCTAGAATCATGTTAACAACATGTTAGTAACTCGCTAATTATGCTAACAACATGCTAATCATGCTAGAAACATGCTAGTAACTTGCTAATCATGCTAACAACATGCTAGTAACATGCTAATCATGTTAGAAACATGCTAGTAACTTGTTAATCATGCTAACAAAATTCTAACACCATGCTAGTAACATGCTACTCATGCTACAATCATGTTAACATGTTAGTAACTTGCTAATTATGCTAACAATATGCTAGTAACATGCTAATCATGTTAGAAACATGCTAGTAACTTGCTAATCATTCTAGCACCATGCTAGTAGCATGCTAATTGTGCTAACAACATGCTAGTAACATGCTAATCATGTTAACAACATGCTAGTAACTTTGCTAATCATGCTAACAAAATTCTAACACCATGCTAGTAACATGCTACTCATGCTAGAATCATGTTAACAACATCAGGGCTCTACAGTGCGACCATTTCAGTCGCATTTGCGACTGAAAACTACTGCGCGCGACTATGAACATTTTTTTAGGAGCACCAGTGCGACTGACCAGATCATCATCATACTTGTGATTGCGCTCAGGGGAGCTTCAAAGGTTTCTACGTGTTTTTGCAGCGTTGAGTAATGTATCACAGACATATCTCACGAATCCTTTCATAATCAAAGTGTAGACAGGGTGTAAATAAGAGATTCATTGCGCAGTGTAGAGAGCTTCGTTGATTATAAATGTGAGATCGAGATGAACTAAGATGAGTGACAGCTTTTAATGATTTTTAAGGGAGTTTGTAAATGTGATACTGATTTAATACAATACAATTCAATAAACAAAAAGTTAATATTAAGTGACTTACATTGTCGGACTATAACACTATTGTCTGATTTTGCTCCATTTCGTCGTCGAAAATAGTTTAAAACAAAGACACACCGGATCCACTGCGCATCTCCATTCAAACACAGCGGTGTCTCGTTTATGAATGAACGGGCATTTCTGAACGAATCTAGTGAGTCAGTGATTCCTGATTACCCATTCATAAAGACATTCACTTGATTCATTCCTGAATGAATCAGCAGTTCGAATGAATCAATTGAATGAATGATTCAGTAATAAAAATCAGTGACTTACCGCCACCTGCTGGCAGTTTGTTTCATTTTAAAAGTATCTTTTCAGTTATTTAAATCATTTAATATTTCTATATTCAAAAATTTAATATTTAAAACATTAATATCATAAATTTATGGATTTAATTGCACTCATTCCACTTCTGAGCCTCATTAAATGTCTGAAAGTACACCAAGCCACTTTTGTGTTCTTCTGTGCCACCTCTACAAATTAATTTTGTTAATACTGATTTCATTTGATTGGTAACTTATATTCCTTATTCTACTTGTTCTTATTCTGTCGTTTTAATTAAAATTTTTAAAAAGCTTATAAAATATAATTTTTTAAAGAATTTGACAAAAGATGACATACTTTTAATAAAGTTAGAGGAGTCAAATATCACCTCGTAATGGGAAGGCTACTTTTTCATAAAATTTTGGATAATTGTTTAGAAGGTGCTCCTAAAATTTTGAACGTGCTCCTAAATTTTTTAAGTTAGGAGAACAAGTGCTCCTAAAAAGAAAAGTAA